ACAATTAAAGGTGAAAGGATGTGCAACAGTCATCCTTTTCTGACATGAAAAAATTCAGAAAAGCAGGAAAAATGGAAAGTAAAACAAGCATATTTTTAAGATTTACTTGAAACAATCGCTATCCAAATTGCCTTTCATATTCTTGACTTCCTGATTTTTTGACTGCTGCTTAAAACAGCGTAGAGTTAGTCACTAAGCTTCACTTTAGAGGAAGAGGCTCAAAGGCTGGCTTTGTGAGTGTGGGTAATCAACTTTTGATGTAATACTCCTCTCAAAGTTCCCAGCATGTTTTTAATTGCTACATGTTAATTTTTGGACGATCATCTTATACATAGGAAGAAAATTATTTCTAATGGAGATCACCAGTTCTTCAGTATTCCGTAACACTGTGCCCAGATGCACCATCATGGACACTGTCAACTGTAAAAAAAATTAATTTTTTCCACTCGTGATTTCACAAAAGTAGGGAGAAACAGAATCAAAATGTACTTCCTGTATTCGCTTCTGTTCCTCAAGTGGTGTCATTTGTGTCATCACTGCCCTCGCATTTCCTATGGCGCTGCCATCTAGGCAGCAGTTTAATTTCTAAAGAGGATAATAAGGCATGTCTCCTCTTTGGTTTAAGAAGTGCTCAGGTCTCTGGTTGTTTTACCTAGCTTCAGCTTCTCCAAGATGTTCCTGTACAAACTCAAGTAATGGAGTTAAACAATATGCATTTTAAAGAGTTCTCACTTAACATTTCCATTATTTATTTTCAGTCACGTGCCTCTCATTACAAAACGAAAAAGCAAATAAGAAAGATAGAGAGGCAACCATTTTTTCTTATTTAATCCCAGAAGTCTGCTAAGCATTTCAACAAACCTGATGGTTTGAGAACAAGAGTACGGCGTTGTGCCTTTAACAGAACATTTTCTATGTAACATTGAAACATGACTTTCACCAAATTTGTCCTGGGACACAGCACCATTGAAGGAATTCATGCTGAAAAGAACAGCTGGATTGACACATGGGCCATCTGGTGAGCGCTTATTCCTGTAAGCAGAAGTGCCTAAGGACCATGAGTTACACAAGAATAGGATATAAATGTACCTTTTTGTAAGTCCTTAAATAAACAGAAATCAAAGAGAATAGCCTCAAAAATCATGTATGATTTGAGGGAAGATCCTGTAACTTTTTATTAACCTTTTGTTTTCCCTGATCCTTACAATACATTTTGAACAAGTCAAGTACACAATAAATGCATATGCTCAGACAATCATTTGTCTACATTTTAGGTTTTGTTTTTTTTTCAAATTCGTATCTAGCTAAGAGAGAAACAAATCTATCAGATGGAGGCAGCACTATCTCCTTTTCTCCCTGTCAACAAGTTAAACTGCTTAGAAAACATTACTTTTCTCTAAAATGTATTTCCTCAGCACCTCCATCCCTGTTATTTTGAGAGGCTGGGAATAAAAGGATGCTGGGAGATCAGGAGCGTTCAGACTGCTCCTGGAAAAAAAAAAACCTCAGCTCTCTTTTTTCTTCTTGATTCATTATACTTCAGCTCACGAAGATGAAGTCATTAAAACATATATATCACTAATGTCTTCCATATAACTTCCTACATTTTATAACTATTTAGCTCTTTGCTTGTTTGCAAAGCTAATTTGAATTGACTTTCACAGAAAATATTCAATGTCTACCACCATTACCTACAACTTCAGCTTTACCTCATAAAACTCTTTAGCAGCAGGATACTCATATGGAACATTTCCAGACAACAAAGACAAAATAATTCAAGTGAAACTGCACAGGGAATGTAAATCATTTCACAAAGCAGTTACCTATGTGGGAACTATTCCTGGGGTCAGTAACTTCTTGTAAACATTTCTGAAGATCTCTGACATGAATGAATTTTAATAACCCTGAACGTTCTTTTGATTTTACAGACGCTTTTTTTAGCATAGCATTAGCATTTCTGAATTCTTGTGACTGCAAACCAGCTTAGAGCGGAAAAGCAAACATTTCTATCATTGTCTCCTAAAAAACACCCAAGCTACCTCTTTAGAATTCTCGAAACTAAAACTCAGCCTGTTTACCAGAAATGAATTGACGTTATCTTCTACTACACATAGAAAATCTTGTCAGTGTTTTCGATTTTGTTTCTAGAAAATCATATGCAAGCTAAGTAATGTGCAGATACTAATAATTAGCTACTTGCTTCAGATTAAACTGCAGAAGTACGCAGATCACTGGAATTGTTTTTCACCTGATGTCATCTGTCATTCTAGGAAGAAAAAAAACAGGGTGATGCATCCTTTTTTTTGTAAAATTTAATAGATTCCAGATACTGTATGTAAGGAAGCTAATAGAAATCCCTTTAAAGATTTGACATAGTTTGAAGGCAAAAGATATACCAAAAGATATACATGACAGAACTGTTGCCTACATGATAGATGAATTTTTTCTCAGAATACACTGGCTTTGGAGGAAACACAATTTCCAAATGGCTTTTCACATATGATACTCAAGCTTATTAAATGAAAATATACATATTCAAGGCAAAGATTTGGAAAAATATTTATCTAGGGGAAAAGATGAGGTTCTGTTTATGTAGATCTTATTTTAACTTAATTTGATAATTTTATCTTGAATTTAATGTTATACTTTCTCAGAATACTACTAGTAAAATGAGTTTGCTGCAATAACGTAACTATTTTACAGTCTACTTTATACTGTAATAAAAAGAGAACGGGGTACATCATTACTTTGTTCAAAAGTAGGGCTTGAATTTTCAGAATGGCTTATTTTTTTCTTTTTTTTTTTTCTTTACTTTCTTGTTATTATTCACCTATTCTAGGCTGCCACTGAAATCACTGGTAAAGCAATGACTTCCATCTGTAGGAGCAGGATAATATTATTTCTTATTTATCACTATGGACAATATTCTATTTGCTAACACTACATCAATACTAATGCCTGTAAGCTTAGACTTTACTTCCAAATCAAAGTCAGAACCAACAAAATTTAGAATGGCCTCAGAGGTAATTCTGTCCTTCAGTAACCTATAGTAATTTTCACCAGAAGTGTTGCTGAAGGCATGAAGTCTTTACAAAGGAAATAATTCTCAATTCTGAGCCTGAAGGTGCTGACCCTACTTTGATTAACTCCCTTGCCTGCTTTTACAGAAAAACATTAGTGTGCTTCATATACATCTAAATTCTTCACCTGTACTACCTGCAGTATGGATGCTTGCAGCCACAAAGCTGCTACAACAAACTGCAAGAGCTTCCGTATTTAAGATACTCCAGAAAAAGAACTAAAAAACTGCAATGCCTTGGGCAAATCCCATGGAGACACAAAGCATTTTTCTTGCATGATGATAGATGGCAAAAAAATCCTCAAATCCAAAAATCTGAACTTCAGGCTAAGGTTGGTAAACTGGCAAAATTACCACTGATTTCTCCGGGGCAGCTGTCAAAGAAGAACAACCCTCATAATACAAATAGATCAAAGCAAAGCAAAGACACGAGCAAAGCAAACTCTGGGTGAACCCCCTCCTGAGGTATGTCAGGAGCAGCTGGAGCTGCTGCTGGTGGCGGAGCTCCACGAGCTGTGGCAGACAGGGAGGTCGGGGTGGGAGGTGATGGGGCAGCCGGAGCTCTCCTGCCCTGTGCTTGGGGGACAACCCAAGTGCGGGCTGTGGCTGTGGTCTCTGAACCATCCCTGTGAGGCAGGTCCTGCTTTTTTCTCATTTCGAATCCTGAGCAGTTAAGAAGGCTCCATGCCAGCACTGCACTGGGATTTCAGGTGCATCCATTCCAACGGAACAAAATGCTTTCCTTGGTTCCTCAAGGTCAATAACCTAGCAGTGGATTTAGCAAACATGTTTCTGGCTGAGCTGGAACAGTGGCTCTGCCCATGTCATCTTCCAAATATGAATTACCAACTATTCTGCCTGGCACAGACTTAAGGAGCATAAACTGCTGCTAGATGTGATGCATATTATTATGGACTATTATTCTAATTTTTGGGGGCTTCCTGCCTATTGTAGCAATTCAATTAACTTCCCACATCCCTCATTTTTGAATGTTACTACAGCATTTAGTACATATTTCCCAGTTAATTTTCTTTCTTATTTTCTCTGAATCTTCTCATCTATTATCTGCATAATATCAGTTCCAGTACATTTTAGAGAATTAACTCAAAACACAGTCACAGTACTTGGTACATGAATTGTTATTCAGTTCAATTGCATCTCGGAACTTTACTGCTTAAATTGAGGGGGGAAAAAAAACATAAACAGAAATAATTGAGTTTACTATGAAAAGATAACTGCTCAGAACCCAAAGAGACAATCAGTTTAGCAATTCATGGGCCTATATCAAACAGTTCTCTGAGGAAAACATGTTCTATTACAAAAAGGATAAAAGGATTCAAGATAAAATGCAGTGATTCTTCTCACTGGAAATTAGTCAGGACAGCATTCAAGTGATTTTTAAATGTGATTTTTAATGGAATAGCTACAACTACTTCATTGAAGCTGGCTTTTGGTGGAAATCTGTTGATAGGCATTTTGATAAATACTTCATATACATCAGTTTGATGTAATTAAACTGAATATTTTATTTTTTATTTTCAGGACTCATTTTTTTTTCTCTTTGAGATTCGTCCTAGCATTACAGCATACATTACGTACATTTTATTATGTATTTAACCTCTGTTATCCAGACATACAATAAGCTTACACAAAAACTTAGAAAATGGCTGATAGCACAAAGCAACAGCAGACAGCTCGAGGCAGCCCGTACTGGTCCATTTAATCTGTTTATATTGCAGCCATCACCATGATGACTGAATGCAATATTTGTCTTGACCGTGGTATAACATGTCAGACTACCCTAAACCTCTGCTAGAGACACAGATACTCAAGATGCAAAAATAAATTAGAAAAGCATCCAAATTAAAGTAGATTAAAAGGGAGCTTGAACTAAATGAAGGAGAAACATGGCAGCTTGGCATCACTATATAAGACAAATTATTTCTCAGATTTTGGATATCACTAAAGAAGAACCTGCTGGAAATTTCACCAATCCACATCTATATTCAGTGTCACTGAGCTGTTTTTAACTTACCAGCAAAATACAAGAGTGCAATAAAAACATCAGTGAAACAAGATGTTTCCCACATTACCAAGTCTATACAGATCAAGTATAGGATTCTGAATTTATTTAATCTTCCTGGCTTTTTAAGTCTTGTAATTAATCTTAAAATCCTATATTTCTAGGAACAAGGACTACAGTGTCATTGGTTTATTCTATAAATATTAAAATTATTTAAAATACAATACTTGATTGAAAGTATAACTGCTATCAGCACTACAAGAAAGAGAGATTCTCTCTCGTTTAGTAGAAATCCTCAGAGATCACAGAAGAGCACAAACTATCAATCAGGTAACCTGACTGCCACAGCCACTCACTGCACTTTTTGGAGGAAAAAGGCAGCTCTTGGGACAATTGTGCAATTTGTGACCAGCCTGGGAGCAAAGGAGACCTGCTTCACACTCAACCTTTTCACCAGCCAGACTGCTGATCCTGCTTTTTGCACGTTCCCACACCCAGGCAGTCCGCAAGGATGGTCCATCCCATCCCATGGCCATCTCCTTTTCTTTTCCTCAGATCGTTCACCATAAGCTTTATTTATTCTCCTCTCCTTTGGCTGTAAGGATGGCCATCTAAGTGGCTCAGGCTGAACAGTTGCAACGTTTTGGCACCTGCATGCTCCAAGGGCATTTTCGCTGTGTCTGTACTTGTCAAATGAAGAGAACACATGTTTAAGCCTTCCTCGTCACAGGCTAATTTGTCTTGGTCTTGGTCTTGCTAAGGCTTGAGAAGATCACAACGGAGCATTCTGCCCTGTCATGTACTACTCTCCTACACTAGACACAGAATTATGCTTATATCTTTATGATGCACAGTATCTGGAATTCTAAATCTTGAAACATGACTACTGATTAAAAGGTACTGAGCATGACAGGTAGCTCATGATGTAGAGTCTTACCGTCAATATGAATCGTTAAAGCAGAAGTTGAAAATTTCTCCTTGGTGTTTTCTATTACTCCTTGTTTGGTGCTCTCTTTTCTATATTTGGCTAAATATTCTCTTCACCTGCTTGCTAAAAATTCAGATTTTATCTCGTCTTCTACTGTTTATACCCCAATTTTGTTTCTTGTTGCTTTAGTATATTAAATCCTTAATTGGTATGCTAATTACTAAGTTATATAACTGGATTTCTCTATGCCTATTTGTAGGTCATTGTCTTCTCCCAGTAAAACAAAATGAGCCTCATACTTTTACATTTAAATGTGTCATCTAGTTGCCAGTCTCTGTTTTACATTTCATACTACAGAAAACAACCACATTTCATTATTCTATTCTAACTCCTGTATAAACAACCTCTTTTATTCTGACATGCAATATTTTTAATTACTGATATCTCTTGGAGAGGCTAATATGGCTTCAGCTGATGGAGGTATCACTTCATCTACACTGAGTTCATACTGCAAACTATCTTCTCACTTTTTGTTCAGTAATAACAAAGTCCTTCAGCTTTCCCCAGTCAACCCACTGATCACATCCTACTCATGGCAGCAAGGAGACAGGCACACTATGACTCCTTCCACCTTTTTCCTTTCATCTGTCAGCAGGGATTCATGAACCTGAGCAGTGATGGGAATGGCCAGGGGCAGGAGTTACCAGCTACAGCACCATCAATTGATTTGCCTGCCAGGAGAGTTAATGGAAGCTGCACCAAGCAAAAAGAAAGAGAAGTTGTAAGAGGTAGTTTGGGAATCAGCTTCAAAAGCCAGCTAAACCAAAGGTGACCAAAACAAACCCAGCATACTGCTGGCTCAGCCTCTGAAGATGATGATCTTGGCTCTTCCCTCTACTTAGCATTTCATCTTGCTGGAATACATAAGAACTAGGAAGCCTAGTTTTTATGCAAAAGAATAAACTAGCCTTAGAAATATTCTTGAAGAAAATTACAGGCTAATGTTGCACAATCATAATATGGCAAACAGCTGTACTTTTCCCTAGTAGAAAGCTCTTGTGCTCCTGTGTTTTTTTCTGTGTCACCAGAACCTGTCAACTTTCACCAGCCCTAAAATTCAGACTTCAGCATCTATTCCTGTACAACTCTACTAGTACTCAGTACTCAGAAAAATCATTTGTTATAATACCAAAAATACTTTTATCATGGAATCATAGAACGGCCTGGGTTGAAAAGGACCACGATGATCATCTAGTTTCAACCCCCTGCTGTGTGCAGGGTTGCCAACCACCAGACCAGGCTGCCCAGAGCCACATCCAGCCTGGCCTTGAATGCCTCCAGGGATGGGGCATCCACAACCTCCTTGGGCAACCTGTTCCAGTGTGTCACCATCCTCTGTGTGAAAAACTTCCTCCTAATATCTAACCTAAATCTCCCCTGTCTCAGTTTAAAACCATTCCCCCTTGTCCTATCCACCCTTGTCATACCCTTTCCTGTTTATATTCTCCCTTCAAATATTGGAAGGCCACAATGAGGTCTCTCCGGAGACTTCTCTTCTCCAAGCTAAATAAGCCCAGTTTCCTCAGCCCTTCTTCACAGAAAAAATCATATCCTTTATACACCTATTATTTTTCCTCTCATAACTCCCCAGTAGTAAATGTGTTTATATGAAAATCAAATATGTTTTTTGATTTCCTTAATTCTGTCCCAAAATCAGACCAAAGCAACTTTTCCGTGTAAGAAAAGAACTCTTACACAATGCTAAACTCATGCACTCAAAACACTATGGAAACAAAACACTTAGTTTTAAAAAAACCGATGAGCCATGTATGCCAATAATAAAAATACAATCTGCAATTACATCAGCCACTAGAAAAGAAAAAGCACAAAGGAAGGTCAGTTTCTTATTTTAACTGCTTCTACGAACACACATCACAATAAACTTTTCTCACCAGCTTCGTAATGTATGACTGTACATCACACCAGCACATAAAGATTCCTGTACTGCCTTCCAGATGCAAAACAAAACCAGGTAACTATTTTAATATTGTCCTAATGCTGCTACTAGATCTTTTGCTTTCTCAGCAAGGAGGGGTGTTTCTTTCTTAACGTAGGGACACTCAGTTGCTCTTTATTTCATTATACAGAAAGACATAAAACAGAAATACAAAAAAAAATAGCTGTCCTGAATGTCACCTAATGCTTAGTTATTGACATTTTTCTCAGGCATGACACACATGATGACCTGCTGTGCCAGCAGACAGTACAAAAAAGTCAAAGTCACTGTATAGTACACTGAACAGGAGATTTCACTCAGCATTTTTACATATGTGCTTTAGTTCACGATTCCAGGAGAATTTTTGAAGACATTAGGTAGATAAATTGTACTTACTCATTTTCTGCCTCTAAATGATATAAACGCTCAATTAAGGAAAACTGAAGCAGTGAAAAAATGAAGACAGATCTCTCATACAACAAATGAGAGTTATGGTTCTGATATAGCTTAAAATCTAGAATTTTAAGAATACTTTTTGAATTAATACATATAGGTGAACAATCCGTGTTCCATGAGTTCAGAGATAGAATAAATAACTCATTTCCAAATACTGAAACTACACTTTGGCAGAAGAGTAAATTAATTGTTTATTTCTGGAGACAAATTGTTTGATGTGTGCAATCAATAAACCACCATTTTCATAAAAGAAATCCATTTAAATTTTCCTCTTTAATACATTCCAATAATATTGTAGGTCAATTTTTAATAAAAAAATGGTAGAAAATGTATAGTGAGACTCAATAATATGGTGTGGGTGAAATGATAAAATAAGGTAGGAAATACTCCATTAAGTAATTATATTCTATTCAGCTTCCTCACATCAGAGCCCATTTATTCTCTTTACTCCATACCAGTTCTCCTTCTGACTCAAATTTCAGTCAAGCAATGAGGGAGCAGGGAAATTAGCAGAGAAAGTCTGATTATACATACAATACACAAATTCGTATTTTTATGGTACATACAATCATAACAGTCACGAGGTCTGCTCGCAGTACCTCGCTCACCTGGAAGAAGTAACACTTTTCAAAGCAGACAATATAGACACATGAAAATAATCTTGTCACGTCAACACAAAGCAAGCATCTAGGCATGTCAGCATTCCAAGCCCCTCCCATGCATTAATGAAAAATCCTGTCTTCTGTACTAAAAACTGAGGGGAAAATATGCAAAAAATCAAGCAGCACATCTATAGAGTTAAAATGTTTCAGAGGTGGTTTTTTGTTCTGCTTTGTCAATTCTGTTTATATTAATAGTTTTGTCCATTTTGTCACGGGTTTTGAAAAAAACTTCCGCTATTTTCCCAAAAATGAATCACTTTTTTTTTGTTTTCAAAAGGACTTATCTTGAGTAAGTTAGTCTACATTATCTGCAAAACAAATAATACTTAACAGATTTAATGATATTTTGCCTTCAAATATTAAAAAGCTGGCTTTAAAATGACTGCTGATCTTTTAAGGAAAGGAATGATATCCTGGAAATAAAGACTGAAAGAGATTTCTCTTCCTCAAACAGCTTTTGTAGGTCAGAAGTCTCGTGTTTCTCACTTACAATCTGACCTTAATTAATGAAGTATTTTACAGGACACTAAATTATTTTTGTATAATAGAATTTAAATTGAAAACATCTTGATTATTTTAATTAACACAATGTATATGACATGACCCTGTTCCAGATAGCAGGAAATTTTAGATAATATACTTGGGGCTGTACTACGACACAATGATTCAGAATTCTGGCACATAGCCACAATCGGCGTACAAGACGGCGCTGATGTACAGAGCACCTTTCCATCAGCTGCACTGCCCTTATTAAATGAAGTAACACTATAACTTCTCATTTTCAGTAGACCAAGATAACCTTGTGTTCATCTATTTGAATGCCACGGACAGGTTTCAATAACTCTCACTACATGTACCACTTAAGAAACCTCTTCCTTCCTTCTCTTTGAGCTTTTAAATCATGACCCTACTGTTCATTCCAGTAGGTAATTACAGTGCCATTTTTATTTGGTTTAACTAATCTTTCTTAAATTTTAACAATCAAGAACATTCTGCATTAAGAATTTTACTGCACTCTTGCGATAATTTTATTACAGACAGGAAAGAATCTTCTACTGAAGAAATTACCTCCCATTCATCTATTATTTTCTAAAAGTAATATTTAGCATATTTTGTTGCTTTTCAAAACAAAACTCCCTTGCCTTAGAATGATAATCTTGTTCCAGCCTGGAATCTGATCCTGCTACCTGTTTGTACTTGCTCATTTTCATTTGTCGGTTTCTCTCTTCTATATCCATCGAACCTGTTAAGTTAAAAATAAATAAATAAATGAATAAATAAATAAAGTAGTCTTCAATTCCAAGATCAACATTATTCTCATAAAATTATTAACAGAAATGAAATCTGATTTATTTAAATTATGACATAAATAATTTTACTTTCTGAATTACAATTTTGAAGAAAACCAGAAACTTCTAAAAGAAGGAAAACTGTATCTGAGTAAGTACTTCAGCAGAGACTTATTAAGCATTGGATTATCTGCACAAGTCAAATAAACCCAACATTGTAGAAGAAATGGATGTAAATGGAATAGAACGTTTCCACAGAACAGAATTTTACTACAAAAATATTCAAGAGAAATTAAGTCTTCCATTAAAATCAAAAAAGGAATGCAAACATCTTTGTGTTTATTTTGGGGGGAGGTCCTAGCTCTGTATTTTTTGTGTGTGACACAAGCATTGTCGTACTGAATTACTGATCAAATAACAACCACGGCCTGTCAGAGCTGCTGTTTACCATGTAAGTACACTCTTATTTTGCTCAAAATATTTTAAAGTGGTATAAAGGAATGATAAAGAGCCATCCAGTGGTATCACTGTATTACATTCTAATGACACAAAACTTCAAGAATGATTTCAGGATTAACTATTCTTGGACCAAATACATGATTAATCTCAGTAGAGATGGGTACTTAAAATATGACTCAGGCACCAACTGTTTTCTGCCAATTGGTACAGCACAATTTACTAAGCAAAATAATAAGGAAGTAAGTGCCAAAGCTGAAGTGGAAGTGTGAGAAACAGAAACAGAAAAATGAGAGGAAGAGAGCAGCTCAGAATTTAAAAAAAAAAAAAAAAAAAAAAAAGTTGTTGAACTAAACATAGCTATCTATTATACACACAGACGCTTGATTCTCTTCCTCTTCAACATGTTATAATGCCCCAAATTCTAAAAAGAACTTATTCATTTATTTTTTTGGACTGCCATTTATCTTAAACTTTCTGTATTTTTAACCCAAAGGTTGCTTAGGATTAGATTTTCAGAATCCCATTAGTCAAAAATGGTTGCTTTTATACTTCATATTCATTTAACAATCTTTACTGTCATCTGTGGAACTAGGACTGGAATATTAGATACCAGTGTTTACTCTGTAAATAAGACTTAAGATCTAAACCTTAAAGTCACGATCTAATAGTAAAATGAGACTTTCCATGGGGCCTTTGCGGTGCTTCTTAGCTTTGTATTTTCCTTCTGTGCAATGTAACAACAGTAGCACGTTATCAGGAGAAAAGGCCTTCCAGATATATCTTGCAATACCCCATGGAAAATCCAGAAGGGAGAGGGCAAGAAGAGGGTTAAACTGTACTGTTATCTACAAACCCTTCAGCTTCTGAATTCTGTATTCCAGCTCTCCCTCTGTATTCCTTACAAAGTGAGTGAAAAGACTTCACATAAATCTTTGAGAGATGTGAATCAATAAAAATGAATGAAAAAGAGTAAGTAGTGTTTCATAGGAAGAGATATAACAAAAAATACAACTGCAGGTGAAAATTCCTAAAATAAAACATAGCCAGTTTCTCCTGTTGCTATTTACCTCAACCATTAAATGTGCCTCATCAATACCTGCCAAGTTATCCTTAAGCTGCAGCTATTTTACTAAGGCTTTGGTTTTAAAAACAATATAATATTTTCTCTTTAAAACAGAAACTCTGAGCTGCAAACTGGTACTTTTCTTCAGCAAACAGAAATATTTCTGAAGTAAAATAATCTAACTTCTTTTGTATAAAGAAATAAATCACTCTTTACTGAAATTATGCTAAAAATCCACTTGTTATTCCTCAATAATGCAACAAAGGAAATGCTTTTCAACACAAAGTTAGTCTTGTGAATTTTTCTTATGAATTTTTCGTATGAAATTATCACATTCTCTGTCCACAGACAGCCTGCTAACCTGCAGTAAACGACAAGGAGTGGTGGAATAACTCCTCCTGATCACACATTAACACTTTCACAATTACTTGAGCAAACATTCCTTCTTTCCTATGATCTATGGGTAGATGAAAGAAAGGTTTCCACAAATTCAACTGCACGTGTTCTGCAAAATCAACTGTTCCAAAATATGATTGAAAGCAGGATCCCCTGTAGCACAACAGGCAAAGCTGGTGATTCAGTTTGGTCTCAAGAGAAAAAATAACAACAAAACTTAGGAAAAAAAAAAGCCATTCAATGCCCATAAAAGCTTGTTAAAATCTAACTTGCTATCTATTATTGAAACTGCGTTTAACAAATAGATGAATTAAGTTATATGCAAAAAGAGGGAATTCTGAGGGCATTCATATTTTTGGAAATTCATAATGTAGAAGCTCAGCTATGCTTCTGTTGTGAACAGAGCTGACATGAAGGAAGACTTCACAGCACTCTGCCAGAGGACAATCTTCATGTAATTAATGCCAGATGCAGCTGTGAGCTGCATGGGAGTAAGAAAGTTTGGGAGAATCTCATGGCCATAGCCTGTGAACACATGGTCCAGTGCACACATGTTGTTGCACTATGCAATGCAAATGCAGGGCTACAGGCATGTCTGGTTCTGCTTCTACTTTGCTGAAACTTAAGTGGGTGATTTAGCATGAGCAGTAACTACTGCCACAGAGTCCACTAAATGGTGTATTAAGAAGCTTCCACTCCTAACATGATGAAGATAACCAAGCCTGAACATCAGCCCCATACTAAGGACCTTCCTGTAATCAGGAATTGTACAGGAGGTGTGTGTAGATGACTCTGAACTATTTGTTATCAGTATTTGTGAACATGTAGGATCATCAGCATGGAGAAATTGCTATCTGATGGAGAGTTTATCGCTGACTCAGTACTAGACGTTCTCCATAATGTTAGAAGAGAATATCCCAAGGGAAAATAGCAACATGACTGTGCAAAGGTGATCCCAAAATGCCAGGAGCCACCAAGTATGCCAGAATAAGGCCAAGAGTAAGGCCAGCTATGGCAGCAAACCTGTAACATGTCACGAGCTCATTGCAAGCACTAGAATCATTCCTCCAACTTCAAATGCAACCCATTATTTTAATGTTTTAACTTGAAACCTTATACGATTCAGCTAATTGAGCATTAAGGTTTTCATTAAAACTGAAAACTTTTTTAATTTTTTTTTCTAAAAAATGTAAGGGGCTGTTACCAACAATGTGGTTAACGTCTAGCTTTTCTACCTCAGTACAGTCACATTTTTACAAAGAAATAAGCAATCATTCATCTCAGCGTTAGAGGTTGCTCTTGGATGTTCAAGTCAAACACTGTTTATTCTCTAGGGTAAGACTCTTCAGTTGACAGCCCAAGGTCCACATCTAGAGGCAAAAATGCCTACAAAATGGCCTTCTTATCCAGTTTAGCCTAAGAAATTGAACTATGTTCATTGCTTCTTTCATTGCCTGCTCCAGTGAGAAATATTAAATTCTTCTATCTGTTATGATACAGGTGATAGTGAAACATTTGGAGAAGATGCCTGTAAAACACTGTGCAATAGGGCATCTGGGACATAGAGAATAAAAGGGAAATCTGGGGTATGTAAATAAAGTAGAGTTCTTAAAATATTATGATGGATTTACTTTTGGATGGGCATGGAGAAGAGGCATACAAAATCAACTGCATTTCCTACCCAGAGCAATGGCTCCAGCAAAGGGACAAGAACTAGAGATGACTACAGAAACAGTGAGATTTTGGAGGTCAGAAACTTGCTGCAGAGAGGAAGGAGGCAGTGTGCAGTTGTGCACTTTCTATGCCTGAGCTGGGGTGGAGAAAATAGGTCATAAAGTGTATGAGAGCTTTCTTGAGTCGATTCTGGTCTCTTCCCATTTTTCCCTCTAAATTGGCTCCCTTAAGAAAGCAAAGGAATTACATTTAGGAAAGTCCTTTCTTAGTTTTCATTTCCTAATATGTACTTTGAAATCACAAAAATAAATCAACATTTTGATCCAATTCCAGGATACACATTCACTTAAACACTGTAGATCAAAGGACTTAAGGGCAAAAGTACAAAAATGTTTTGAATAAGTCTCCCTACCTGTATCCCCATTCTCTGGATCTGCTTTCTTTTCTTCTAAAAACAAATGAAAGCAATATGTAAAACAAAACAAAACAAACAAACAAAAAAAAAGGGTGAGAGAGGAAATGCATAATAATAATAAAAGTAACAACAATGAAGCATGCATTGGAAAGGAAAAATGAATAAAGACCATCAAATTAATCTAAATTGATAGTTTAGTCAACCAGCCAAATATGGTGCTCTACATCCAGAGGCATATTCACTGCATGCTGCTGAATACATTTGTGCACACTTATCATGGACTTACTGGAGGCAACTCATGGCTATTTTGTGCGCTTCCAGAATCATTAATGCACTCAGTACAAAAGACAGCAAGGCAGGTGTCAGACACAGTTACTTTACAGTTTCATTTGACAGGATGACAACAATAAAAGTAAAAAAATTCCTAGTGGTGTATGTTTTATGCAGCACACGCACGATGTGCAGTCTAATGGTTCAAGCATAAAAATTGGATGTGTCAGAATGGTTTTCAGTAATTGCTTTAAATCTTCCTTGGTTTAATCAATTCTCATAGCTTCCACAGGTTAAAAGGTTTAGTAATGATATTGCTGTAGCTTATGTGAGAGCTAAAACATGATGAAGCGCAAAAGGCTCTAACATCAAACCTCAGAACTCAGCTTATGCTCGTAAATCCAACAAACTGATGCTAACAATTATTCTGAATGCTTATCAAAGGTTGTATATGGCTCAGGGCATTCCTCTGTCACAGAGAAATGAAAACACATTGGATCCCTATCAAATAGTTTGCCAGCACATAAATACTACAAGTTGAAATCCAAGTTTGGTAATTAATGTGAAAGAAATTTAAGTCAAAAGAAATTTACTTTAATTAGAAACGTATTAACTTTTAGCACACTGCTTCTTTTTCTTACTGTAAATGCCAAAATGATATTAATTTCAATTACCACGATCTCATGAGTATGGAGCAATCTTGCCCCCTGACACAAAATAAAATTCTATGTACTTTTAGAATTAAGTATTTTTCCAGAATTACAGGTTATTGAAAGTAGCTCACAAAATTACTTTACACTTTGCAATACACAAGCTGTTACCAGTTGAAGAAGGAAACAGAGATGTTCTATCAGGATGGTTACCTACTGGCAACTCCTAGTGGAACTGTTAGACAAATTAATGGGAGGAGGATATGGTAAGTCATAACCCTACACTTCTGAAAATCAGTAAATACCCAGTGAGTTCTTGAGACCTCATCCATTCCCTATTCTTTTCTGCCCCATTTTGTGAGCAATATAAATAAGGCCCTTTACATTCCTTGGTCCTTGGTCCTTGGGTAGTCTGGCCAATACCACATTGGAGGCTGTGGTAATTGCTATGAAAACAGCAGAAATAGAGAGTTGTGTTTGCTTTTCAAGCTTTTCAATTCTTTTTTTTTTTTTTTTTTTTTTTTTTTAATTACTGTTGATAAAAAAACTGTGAGTACAATGCTGTCTTCTATATTACTGATACAAAAGCTATGAGTACAATGCTGTCTTCTACTGCCGTATTACTTTTTAAGGCAAAAGCTATTTGATAGCAATACCAACAATTCCATGTAATGTAAAATAGATGAAAATTAAGTCACAGCCATTAAAATACCCTCCAGTTTGAACACAGGCAAGATGATAAAACTTCCAACTTATTTCATACTTAAGTTGAAAATAAATCTTTGGCTGTAGTATCATCATACAGAAATATAATACTACGTAGCATAATTCCTTTTATAAAAATGCTTATTAGTCCATTTTTCTATTGGACTGGGCCACAGGACTTTTCAACCATGACTTTTAAAATGAAGACATAGTCAAAATATGGTAAACTTGAAACCCACTCAAGATTCACTTGATCATGCCTCCTATTTAAAAGTATATATATATAAATATTTCCACATTGACTTACAGAAAAGAATACCATAGGTTCATCAAGCATGACATTCTATTAGATTTTTGAATTACAAAAGTGTAATTAAAGTGTTGTGACATTTTTTACAAATCTCTACAACAAATAAATTGTTCAGACTTTTATGGGAAGGGTCAGCAAGAGTGGATCTCACTCTTGAAACTGAAGTTTCAATTGATTTGTAAACAGGAACTGTATTGCATTCTAAAGAAGTACTAGGAAGAACAGAAAACTGAATTGAGAAAGATCGCAATTCAATGTGGGAAACAGCAAAACTGAACAGTATCAGTATTTTCCACTGAGCAAATAAAACAATACTAACTTCTCAGCAGCAAAAACCTTCACAGCACTTCTGGGCTTAATCACTCCCTTTTAAATGAATTCAAAGCACGTTCAGAACAATGAAACTACATATAATGTAGTTCATAATGTAATTCATAAATAATAATTTGGGTTCCCCTGGTTACTAGATGCACAAATTCAAAGCAAACAATCAAACAAAAAACACCTCCAAAAATGATTTGAAAATGCTGAAAATAAAAAAGAAAAAATCCAATGAGATGATTTAGAAATGTTTCAAGGTGAATGATATAAGATGAAAAAGGCAACAGTCACTCCTAAGTCTTTTTAGTTCCCATTTAGATGTTTTCTTCAATATCACTATCATCAGTCAGTGGTTTTCTTCATCACCTGAATTAAGCTTAGTTTACAAAGCAAGTACATATACTCTATCCGTGAGATAAAATAAGGAAAGAGAATGCAAAGGGAAGAAAATAGTAGGCAAGAGACTCATAGAAGACTCGTTTTAAAAGAACTGATCTAAAATGTCTGTGACCAGCTATATTAACTTGTATATGCCTTAGCATGGTGAGATCTAAGGATCCGATGGGCACCTAAAGGTGCCACAGCCAGCGCACCCCAGCACACTTTGTCACCCTCACCCCAAGAAGACCCATGGAGCAGGGACTCCAATGCCCCTGAACAAAATGTCAGCATCTCCGCAACTGTCTGAAAAGAATAACAGTTCTACAGAAGAAGTGGGACTGCACACTTCTCCCCAACTATGATTACTGACGGCAGCATTCAGCAATTGCTTCACAAGTGAGGATCTTTCTCCCTTCTTTGAGAAAGTTGAGGGTGAGCCTCACTGTAGCCGTAAGGCCACCAGGAGTTGCTGAGTTGAACAGATTTGCTCCAGGGCTTCTTTCTTCTCTAATCATTGGTGGCCCAAAACTCAAGGTTAGAGTCTGGCTCTACCTTGAACTGTCTCTCCTGCAACGACTTTTAGATGTACAGGGATCACTTTAACAATAATTCTTTTACCTGGGATCCAGAACAGAGAGATTTCCATGAGCTTGGAGTGGGTTCTGAAATAAACTCTGAAATAAACTTCCCTGCTTTGAATGGAAGTAATTGCAATCTTCAATACTGACAGATGTTCATCTTATTAGAACAGAACTGCTTCAGGAAGAAGCAGAACTCCTTGTTTGTATTTAATTTTAGACATAAGATAGGACGACGACAACAACAATTTTGAAATGTCTTACGTTTCTGCTTGTCTTTTTTGCTGACTCAAGATGAAATCTGCAGTTATTTTTTAAGACTTGATAAATTCATTCCTTTAGCTCTGTGATGAAAAACTTAATCTGATTTTTCAAAATGGTAGGAATTAATAAATTATATTTATTTAGAAAATATCAAATGTATATGTAGGTCCGTAACTTTATAAGTATGTTTAGAAATGGTAGTCAGATTTCTTACTCGCATGACTTCTTTGCATAGTTGGTAGAAAAAATTTCTCTTGAAAAGTTCTGTGTGAAACTACAGGAAAATCAATCTTATACCTTCCTTGAAACAGTATTTTTATCAGTGCAAGCAAAGGAAACAAGGCTGTTTCCTAGAAGCAAAAACAGAATTTATTTGCTTTGATCAGAAAAAACAGTTAGTTAAAGGCCTTGTAATCAAAGAACTACATTTCCTCCAGTTTGCAGAGCAATTCAATTCCAGTTCTACCTCTAAGAAATTAGCCCTGAACTTAGTTATTTTGGCTGTCTAACCTGTGAAAAATACAACTAGCCAGTGGCTAAAGAATGTTTGATGCAAGGGTTTCCTGAGCCTCTCTCCAGGGCTTTATGTCCAAGGTGTGGCAAATGTGCAGAAGATACTGATGCAACAAACAAGGCGTCTCCAAAAAGTCTGTGCTATACTCCACAATTTGGATGAAAAAAATATGACTGAAAACTACAGAAATGCAGAAGATGTGCTTTATATGAGCCCAAAGTGTCAATTACCATCCTTACAAGGGAATGCTAGGAGGAAGACAATTCAATTAGTCAGATTCCAAGTGGGGGAACATGCCTTTGCATTCCTGTTTTCTATTTGGGAACTGCTTGATGGTTTTGTTGTTTTTAAAAAATTCATAGCTTCAAACTTGGCATTACTAAACAAAGACTGAGAGTTGAGGGACATTTTTCACCAATTAAACAAATTTTTATCATAATGCTGAAAACATGCTAACAATGTTATTATTTGCACAATACATGGTGCTGCTTAGTAATAGAGTTGAATAAGATAGGGTGATCAAGGCTAGAAAGTGAAAGAATTTCTAGAACCATGGGCTCATAAATTGACAGGATCAGCAAAGGTCTTCATCACTGGGGATAAACCAGTGCAGCTGATAAGGGAGAAAGGGCTTTTGAAGCAAGCTGGGAAGTTCTATTTTGCATGCTTATTAAACAAGAATTAGGATTATTATGAAAACTTTAATAGCATGTTTACCCATGGATCCTTTTCCAAGGTGATTTTTGCAAGATACTCTATGAGTGTGTCCTTGCTGCCTCACAAGTACATGCATTTTTGTGGCCTTTGAAAAATACTGAGATCCCACATGGAAATAGGTGTTACTAAAGCAGAAGCAGCAAGATGAACTTCAGCTAAAGCACTACATTTCAATTCCACCAAGAACTGTGGCAAAACCTTTCTTTGTAAAGGATATGAAATAGGATTCTGAGAAGAAAAATCCCTGTGGGGCTAGTGGCTCCTATACTCTGTTCTCACAAATTTCCATTCAGATCAGCCATGCTATTAGCTCTGCATCATCATCACGAAAAGCCCTAATCCAGTGTCACCATTCTTTTTTAGCCAAGCATGCAAGCACCTCAGAATTCCTACCACCAACCATGCTTCACAGTATAACCACAGAATATTTCACATTTTGACAGAGCCATTTCAATATGTAGGCACAAACACTTGAAGATAACTATGCTTGATTTCAGAAAAGCAAAAAACTATTAATAGAGATTCTTCAGCCATCCTAAGAATGCAAGAAATCTTCATTAGTGTGTCAACAGACAAAAATATGGTTAAAGATTTAAGCTAAGCCTTGAAAACAACACTGGTGTGTTCACCTTCATGGAAGACAAAAGAATTACAAACTCAGCTCTCAAAGTTTTACTAAAAATGCTGTGTTGCACATGTATAATGTATAAAATACTGCAAATTTACTGGTATGCTCTCATTTTTAATTCTATAAATTGATATGTTGACTATTTTCTTTGCCGGTCTGAAATCCAGCCTTTTTTTTCCTAATCCAGTACAGATGGCTATTTCAGGGTTTGAAGCCTTCACAGTTTCTGGTGTTAATTCTAAGAAATAAAAATAAGAACAAAGAGTCCCCCAGCTATCCAACCCAATACATCTGTTAGTATAATAAATACCTTTAAGCTGAATTTGATGTTGAACTATCCCTTTGGGTTCTGCTGTTCAAACAGAGAGTTGTAACTCAGACATTTAAAGTGTCTAATCTAAGATATGAGATTTTAAACAAACTCTTGAAATTAAATATCACAGAACCCTTCAGAGATGCACAAGTTATCTAACCACATTTGAACTAAAATGTTATAGATTCCTTCCAGGAATTCCTTTTCAACATGTGAGAGATGGAAATAGAACAAAGCTTTATCCTGGTCTTCAAGGGGAAGTGTGTCACTGAATAGTGACTACAACTCAAAAAATAGAGGAGTGTCACATTTTATTTATAAAGTACACAAGAGTAGGCTCACTCCTGAAAGGCTCCAAAAACATCTCATGATACTACACATAAGAACAAAAACAAGTAACAGTCCTTCTCTTCCATTGTATTTAGTCTCTTAAACTATCTCAATCGTACACATTTTTTGCATTTGCTTCCTCAGTTCATTTTCCAGGCTCTTTTCTGTTTGGCTCTCCACTGTCCTGGGCTGCCAGCTCTGATTTGGTCACACAACTTAGAGTTTTCAACTTTCCTAAGTTTTGCCCCAAGCTATCAAGTTACTGTAAAACAAATCTTACATTAAAATGACAAAACAGAAAACAAATAGTCTTCATCTACTTGAATTTCATTTTCAACGGTTAGCAAAAACTCACATCAGTCCTTCTTATGCCCCTTCTATGAGAAAGAGAGTTCTGCTCCAAAGATAGTAAAGAAGAACCAGAATTTCTATTTCCTGGCTTTTCTCATCTGTCAGAGCCAGAGCTGTCTCCAGTACCCCACCTCCTGACTTCCATCCACTGCCTCAAAAAAACAGCAATGACTGGGCATCACCTTTGAGAACCTGGAGTAAACCTAGCAATGATTGACAGTGGTAGTTATGCTACTTCTACACTAATTGCCCTTAGCCTGTCATGGCTCAGCCTCTCCCTAGTCTTGGTGACCAGCCTGGGCTGCCATTACTCAAGTTAGCTCTCATTTCGAAGTTCATTTCACAAATGTTTTCTGTATGCTTAAAGATCACAGTGAACATCATTGCATTTTGCTGATGCATCAGCAACTTGTTCCCCAGAAATGCTGATGAAAAGAACAGCCCCCAGTTTATTACTAAAATTCTTTCATTCTTTATTTGCAAAATCCAATTTTAGAAACAAATTGTGAAAACTCTGCATTATGAAGCTCCTCATTCAGCAAAGGAAAACACTGATCACTAAGGATGATATCAACATGTAGTGCTTTCATATAATAAAATTTGTATAAGAATGTTTTGCTTTTTTACCAATTTGAAATTGCCTTTGTTCTTGAAATACACAGCATAAACTTTACATGCACTCTTACAGAACATACCCACTAAAAAATTCTAGATATTTTTCAAGGAATAAAATCTTCTCATTTTTGCAGTGAAAGATGATAATGTCCATCAAAAAGTATTATTTTTATTTCAGTACAGTTGTCCCATATTCAGGTATTTAGCTTTTTGAACATTTATAGCTCTAGTAACACCTTCAATCAATAGCTAATCCTTTGATCCATCTCAGTGTTTAGTAGCTTGGTACTGTGAAAACCATTTACAGAAGAAAACCCGCAAATGGGTAATCCTAGGTTAACACTTCTAAAAGTGAATTCTAACCCAGAGGGGAAACATCTTCTGAAGGTCTGTCTTTGACAAGACACCCATGTCTGTAGCCGTGTGCACAGTTGCACAAACTTAGCGAAACCTGTAGCTATGATGGTATTGAGGTGAAGCATGGAAGTTCATCAGGGAACCATTCCTAAGTGTACATCTGAAAACAGGTTCCTATGCACAGAGCAAGGTAGTTGCTTTAAGCTTAAGGGCAGTAAGTTTTGCAACTATGCCTTTCACCATGCTTCTGAATTTCTCTGCTAGACAATTAACTTTACGAGAGCTTAAAGTATTTGCTTAAATCTGTCAAAGAGCAAAACACTGCTTTACAGAAATTTATCTCAAGTGGAATGTCCAGAAGAGTTAACAACACACGTTTTGCCTTCTCAAATCTGTTCAAGAAAAATATGTCATAGAAATACATGTTTTCCTGAGACAGCAGATACCATTTTTAGGTCTTGTTCTTACCAAGAATCATCTAGGATTCATAAATCAGGATTCCTGAATAAAAGCATCCACAACTTTCCTTTTCCTTTATTATGAACAAATAGAGAACTGAGTGACTCATTTTTTAACTTTTTAAAAAAGCTATTATTATTATTATTTTTTGGTAATGAAAGAGATTCAGAATAATCTCACAGAAATGGATCTTTAGCATGGGACAAGTAAGCCCAATCTTTCTACAGCATGAATGTATTAATTTCCAGTAGTAATGATTTACAGAAAATAGACCTTGATCACTTAATTCTCAATAGCACTTGCTCTCTTTATCCACTGTCAACCCCTGCTTTGCAGCTTAAATGATTTCTATCTTGAGACTTGTTACGTTTGAAGACCACAGTAACTAACTTCTGAGAGGCAGCATAGAGAAACTCTAGGAACTCATAAAAAGTGATAGCAAATGTAAAACTGAGTTCTGAAGGAGCCAGCCACAGCAGAGGAATGATAAAAAATATTTGACTAAATCCTACCGAAACTTAATGGACCAGTCACAGAAATTCTTTCAGATTTTAGAAGCTAAAGAGCATCAAAGCAGCTTCTCTTATTCATCAGGATAACAGCAGGGAAAAAAATGAGAGCTTTGATGGAATAAGTGTAAAATTTAAATTTCATGTGTCAATTTGATCCACTAAAAAATGGGGACTTTCGTTGTTCTGACATAGTTAGTATGACTGAACAAGCAGAGCAAGAGTATATATATATAATATAATGTACTGCATGGAAAATTCAATAAATGGCAGTTTAATATTTGATACAAAATATATAAATAACGCACATTATAAAAGAAAAGCCAAGACCAGTACAGCTATATGAGATTTCCTTTCATGTTTTGATTTCTCACTCTGTTATCAAACTGTTCTTTTTAAACTTTTTGCCATGAGAGAACAGCTTTTGATCACTAATAATTCCTAACAAAAATGGATCTTGTTCAATGAAGCTAAGTTTGAGATTTCAGTGCATGAAATGTAACTTTCTGAGATTATTCGGTTCTCAAATTATATCTTCCTGGGAATATTATGTCTGAGTTTTCTATTTTCTGTAGAAGTTTCCAAATGTGAAGATAAAACAAATTAGAGATTGTTTTCGTGTGCTAGCTGGAAGCTTATAGGCTTAACATATAGATACTGGACATGGGAAACAAACACTGAGATAAATTTAATCAGTTCAAAATCTTAAGGTAGGCACATGTGTCATCAGTTGCCTTTTGAAGTTTTTCGCAGAGTTCGTATTTCACGGGTAATATAAATTACATAAATATCTTGATCTGTCTTAAACTTCTACAGTTTGCTTATGCTTAAATATACTAAGAGGAGAAAAGAGTGAAAAGTAAATGAGGTGAGCTAGGATAGAATCTACAGGAAAGGTAAAATGAAATATAGCACAGGAAAAAGCAGTAGAAGAGACAGACCTGAGTTTCTTCTCCTTGATGATTCCGCTTCTTCTGTGATCACATCGTGTAATGGACAGACATAGACAAAGGAGATGGGCGTGAGAGGATGTATTCAGAAGGTTAAAACTGACACTGAGGGAAAGGGCCAAAAATTGTTTTAGAGAGAAGTCTGCAGAGCAGAGTTAGTAAATGGGGGAAAAAAAACAAAGACACCAGAAGAAGAAAGCAAGCTGAGAAAGAAGTGGTTAAACTACAGTTGTTGAAAAAGAAGAGTAAAGACAGAGTTAGTATAGGAGCTGAGGAAATAACAAATGTTATCATTGAGAGCAAAGTCAATCCTTGCAATGAAGCTGAAAAGAAACCTGGATAGTAAAAAGTGCGTTAACGAGTAGAAACTTTTGTGTTCACACCTGTTCAACTTTTTGGAATGTAAGCTACTCGAATGCAAATATTAATTTTTTTTCAAGTACTGAAATTCAGTTTGAAATCCGGAATGGAAGTGCATTATTAGATAATTCTACTATTAAATAGTTTTATTTCACACTAAATCAAACTTCACATATCAAAAATGGAAAACAAAACAGAAATAGATTGTTTGGAAAAGGGCATACAAGCTGAAGAAATTTCAGGATCCACATAACACACTCTGGAAAGGACCATGTTATTGTAGCACTCTGCCAATGGTGGTATTATAAAGAACAAAATATTGAATGTGGAAAAAAAAAAGAACATATAGGTATTAACTCTCATGTATCAAGAAGATACTCTTTCAAAACCAAGTATTACTCATCTCACAGCAGTCTAAGTTACTGGAAATGCATGCAAATTAAACAACTCTCTCATTACTTACTGTATTACTTCATTCAAAACACACTGCCATTTCAGACACGGAGGAAATCTGAGGGACAGTGTCATTTTCTGTACTGAACATCTATTTATAGTAAAAGAATGGAAGGAATTCATCTTGAAAAATAATAATTATTAAAAAGAACTATAAAGCTACCATGAACTTACAAAACACATGCATTCTTACAAAAAGCATGAGAATTAAAAATACTGTATGTATCCATATAAGCCCTGATCTAAATTCAGCTTGCAGTTTGCTGAGTTACTAAACATTGTTTACAATTTAGTAACACTGGAGATATTAGATTAAGAATTTCAGAAATGTTCAGACATCACTAAAAATATACTGTGCGTACTTTTATCCACATCTTACAGTCAATATCAAGACACCACTGAAAATACGCAAAGTTAGAATAAGCAATATAAATTCATAAAATGAAATGAAAGGCAACACTAATTTTCATCTGATAACCCTCATGTTTTATGCTTACACCATTTTATTCTATAGCTAGCAGGTTATCATTTTCATCCATCAAATACCAAGACTGTACAAAAAATTTGTTGTAAACACAAGCAGACTGTAGCATATATTTAGAATGCATTTTTAGGCAATTAAATTTGCTTACTAGATGATCACGTGTAAGTGTTGTATGTGAGATTGATCTTGTGAAAGCATAGCAGCTGACAGTTTTGACAAAGGATGCTATGTCATCTATTGCTTAAAAAAAAAGTATCAGTGTATAACTGTATTTTTATCTGTGCAAGTGCATTAAATCTGTAGTGTGAAATACATATAAGCAAATAAAAGATCTACTCGTCCTTGGTGTTACACAGCCTGTATTGATATAGTGTTGTTATAATTTCTAAATCATTTAAATAAATAAATCTTCATTTCCATCACCAAAAACCCATCTAAAAATTAAAACTTACTTTTTTTTTCAGAAAATGTTTTCTCACATCTATATATATTTTATATTATCTATAGCCTTGAAGCATGCACTCCTTCTATGTCAAATACTGCATTATAAAGTCTCTGACACCATTATACTTATGTGTTTTTTTAGTATCTGTAGGAATGTATATCTCTGAGACATACATCACATTACATTACATTAGGAGAAATATAAAAAACTTCAGAAGTTTTCAAAGTTGCTTGGAACCACAATTATTCCAGATCCAGAAAACGTCCTGATATGTTAATATAAGGCATTCTAGTAACATCAGTAAATTTTAGTGATGACACAATTGAAAAGCAGTAAAACTCCTTCTGAAGATTTCAGAACCAACTAATTAGTATTTGGCTGCGTATCAGGCACACATGTCGACATATTTTTAAAACTGGATATTGAAAATCACCTGTGTTTGTTAGGAGTACAATGTTTACGTACCAAAATGCCGAACAACAAAAAAAAAAGTTTACAAATATATTTTCAGTTTTAAGTTTTTATTGATCGCATGTGTAAGAAGTATAATTCTATAGAAGCCAGAATGGAAAATCAGAGACAGTATGCAATTTGACCATTAATTGTTTAAGTATTAATGAAGTAGAAGGATTTGTAGTATGGTAATGCACAAACATCTTTCCATTAATGATGTCAAGAAGAAAGTACTAATAGATGCATTAGTTTAGACACAGTGACACTTGTGCGTATCAGTCTCCTCCTGGTTCAGAAGGTGCTCACAAATCCCAAGCAACACTTTGAAAACCTGCTAGTTCTGTAGCTTTTAATCCACTACATTAGATCTTTGTTGGTAAAAAAAAAAAACTATTAGAATCTGCCAACAAAATCATGAAATAAAATACTAGTAAATATACTTAATGTCAATAGTCAGTCTTCACTTGCATTGTTATTGCTTTGCTGTGGAGGTAGCATCTATTCGTCCTCATGGGCAAGTGTGATATGTGTAAGGGTATTGTGTACAGATTTAGAAGCAAAACTCTCAATAAATAAACTTCTAAAATAAATGACAGTCACTTGTACTGGAAATCCGAGAAAACAAGAGAAATGCCAACTATTTTATCATGCTTTGATGCAGAACTTTTCATTTTAAGAAATGGCAGTTATTGAAAACTATTCCTAAGTATTTAGGAACTTCTTTTTAAAAAGTATGTTTGAAACTTTTCATAGCATAACACCCATTTGAAATTACAGAACAGGACCAACAGATGTAAGCCTTTTTTTTTTTTTTTTTTCTGCTCCTTAAAAGCAACAATCTTCCACTGCATCAATGACCTCACAAACACTCATGTCTTGCAGATTCAGAAAGTCTCATTGATGGATGCTCTTTACACAGTAACTTGCTAAGGATACAAGAAAAAGAGGAGGAGTAGACAGCCAAATTATTAAGAGTATAAATTATTGCCAAATGGCTATCTGACTACATTAGAGTGTCAATAAAATTACTTTTCTATAATACTATTTAATACCATTAAATTATGTTTTCCTGTAATCCTTCCTATACATACAGAACTCATTTCATACTTCTGATTATTTTTTTTTCATGAAGGGAACGGCTACCAGTTAAAGATGAGTTTTTCATCTTAAAGTGCAAATTCACACACACAAAACCACAGCTGCGCACTGGACAGATGCCAATATTTTTCCTCAAAAATATAAGCAGAGGTCTAAGTAGGATGAAGCTGGAAGCTAAGTAGTAGGAAGCTGGAAGACATTTAATTGGGCAACTATCTACTATAGGCTAGGTTTAACACATGCTATATATATAATACATGGTATGGAAAACACTAAGAACAAGGAAGCTGTGAGTTATTCCTACCAGGAGTTAAGAATAACAGCAAAGAAGGCAGAAGGCAACATCTTAGAAGAAATCTTAACTATTCTCAGTAGCATGAACTCTACAAAATCAAAAGAAACCGTGTAGACTGCATTACTTTTTTGTAAGTCTTGAGAGAAAAACTAAATGAGAAACTTAGAGAGCTTTTACGATTTTCTTGCTAATTTAGATAATCAAACATCAATACTACTTTAGAGAAGATAATTATCAGCATAGGATACAAATTCACCCTGTATTGCATATAAAGGATAGATGAACTATCCTGAACTAAGTATTTCCTTATTTTACTTCTGTTCTTATCCCAATTATGTCATAACGTTTTAGCTCCCACAGAATTAGGTAGTCCAGGAGTTCACATTGTTAAGACTGGTTTCCAAGTGGTTTCCAAAACACAGGAAAGCAGGAAAAGGGCATACACATGAAAGAATGTGTATGTGCTGTAAGGAATTTTCAAGCTGCCTCAACTAATTATGACCCATCATAAACAACAGTTAAACCTTCACTCCATGCAAGTTGGCTGAGACACCAAAGTGCAACATACACATCTGCAATTCCAATTCACACAGCACCATTTCTTCATAATAAAGTATCTTTGTCTCTTGAATCCAGCTCTGTTACTTTCATACCAATAGGCATACTGACCTCCAAAGTGGTACAGAAGAATAATGAAAGCAACTTTTAAGTAAATACATTGGAAAGCTTATTTTAAATAACTTGCTTTATATACAACTTCATTCAAGAGGAGCCTCTGTAAAGTAGGGGAACACTCATAATTTTTCAAGAAAGGTTATTACTACCACATATTCCATCGGACTTCTCACTTCTCACTGGATAAAACAGTGTCACAGAATGGCACGTAATGTATAAATCTTTCTATAAATTTTACCCACTTCACTGCTTTTCAAGCCCCACAGCACCTCCATAAGACCCTTTTCTATGTTTTCTTCTTCAGCCCTACCTGAGCACTGAGAACCTTGCATTAGGGCTCTGGACAACTTTTTCCCAATTCCTTTTTTTTGAACACTCTTCTGCTTAGTAACTTTTCTTCTTTATCAATCATTATCTCTGACTTCACTCTGCTCCTCTCCTTTCCAAGGCTGCCAATTTTATACAAGCATTCTTGTTTAACCATAGTCTTTGATTTGTCTTGTACTCACAATATGAAATGCCTGTATGCTCTCCTCTCTGAGTGTCTTAACACCACTTTGTCTTCACACCCAGCGAGGTCCCAGCACTGTTTTTAATGCTTCCCATTTTGACTACAACCTTCTTGTAAAATAGCCACCATTTTGTTTTGATTTATTTTTGACTAATCATTTACTATTTCAACTGACAGCAGGTAAATTACTGAACTGCAGTAACATTATTTCTGAAAAGTTTTTTTTCTGTGTGTAGTTGAGGAATACTTC